AAGCATGTGCGAGTCCCTGCAGTCCCTGCAAGAGGGGCTGCAGGGACTTCTGCCCCCGGATGCTATTGGTCGTTTGGCCGGGACTGCTTCTGCCGGCCTTAACGGAGTCGCGTATCGTCACTTGATGCCGGACGCTACGCATACAACAGACCTCGGGTGAACCGCACCAAGCACGAACTACTTCAAACAAGTACGGGTATTTGCCTGTTCGGGATTGTCCAGCAGCGACGAGGTCAACCCCGATGACCTTGTGCCCGCTCACGACGGACTTATAGATGGTGGAGGGCAGTACTGCCGGCCCAGCGTTAGTGAGGGTAGGTGACGCCCAAAAATTAATGGAATCGAACGTCGGGCTCACCGCCGGTGGGCTTTGCTGTATCCGTGGCGGGCGATCTGTCTCGCTCTCGGTAGGTGGTGGATCGGTAGCGGGGTAGGAGCACTCCGGGCGACGGGTTTCTCGCTGTACTGTATGAATATGGGGGTAGCCCCGTTGTCCTCGCCAGGTATCCGGACCGGCGACTCCCAAAGTGAACGATTTGTGGGAAACTCGTGGGGTGGGGGCGTATCCGGGCGAGGGGTGGCCGGACAGAAGGACTGGGTAAGATGCCTGATAAACGAAAGTCCAAGCGTTCGGCGCCAGAAACGTTGGGGGCCCCTCGTGCCATCTCTATCCTCGCAGAGGAGGTGGAGGAGGGGTCGTAGCATCCTCTCTTATCGGACACCACGCATGCCTCTCTCTCACCCGCTTCCATATTACTCTGGCGTTCCTCTCTCTGTCTCTCGCTCATCAGACACCAAGCATAATTCTTCGCCCACATCCATGTTACTCATCTTGACTTGACAACGTTTGTTTGTCTTTCTCTTTCTCATCTCAGGTGGGTCTCTTTGAGGACACCAACCTGTGCGCCATCCACGCCAAGCGCGTGACGATCATGCCCAAGGACATCCAGCTGGCCCGCCGGATCCGCGGCGAGAGGGCATAAGCCGACCCCCCCCCCCCCCTCGGGTTACATTTTGCTTATCTCTTGTGAAAAATTGTTTTTTTAGCGTATGGGTCCAAAGGCTACGTTTTGTTTCTTCGCCCAGGTGTTGTTTTGCTTTTGTGTATAGGGTGCGGCGGCGGCTCAGCTGCTGTGCGAGCACGGGGCAATGGGAGAAGTCCTTGTTTATATGGTATGGTAATTTTTTTGTGTGAGAGCATGGATCGTTTTGACACTGCTGTCTGCTTGTAGGCTGAACATCTGCTATCTGCTTGGAATACTGTAGACTTGAAAAGTGCCCCACAGCCTGGGTTACGAGAACTGCTTTGTAAAGGTAGCAACATTGGGTGAGAGAGGAGAGCGGCTGCATGCTTTTGCGCTTGGCCCTATGGTCTTGGGTGGTCAACACTCCACAATGGGCAAGCAGGGTAAATCAATAGTCTCTCCGTTTCTGACTACCGTTGGTCGCTCGTTTTTCTGAGGCGTGTGGTTTGGATGAAACCGTACTTCGATTAGACCAGATACCATTAGCGTTGCAAACGATACATCTTAATATGCATGCATACCTGTTTGTGTTTCTTTTTGTCTTTGAAACTTCCCACTGACTCACCTAATTTCTCCTCTCATGATGTGTCGATGAATCACGCGTTGAGATGAGATTGATTTTCTTGTGCATGCGCTGCGGTGTTCTTTTGTACAGGCAGGTTTAGGGGTCGCTACCGCAGCATTCATTCGGTCATTGTTCCCAATCTGAAGCTTGCTTGTGGGTTTTTCAGAAGGCGGGCGAATGTCTTTGGCCTCAGTCTTAGCGATAAAATGCTGAGAACCAAATGGGAGAGGGCGGAAGAGCGGGGCTCTAGCAAAGCAATCAATGAGCGTGTACCATAGATCCTTCGGTGGTTTCGTACTACGAAGTTTATCACAACGCCTTAGAACAAGGCTTCGCTTGGTGTTGGCATGCTCTCTGAGGTCCGGTGCCCCTGACTGTCTCGAGTCTCGAGCGGGTACGTTTTGATATTTCCTACCATCTGTGTGTGGTTCTTGGACGGGATGACATCCCTTGTGTGGGATTGTTGGCTTCCAAGCAGCCAATTCTTCCAACCGACCAGAGTCTTCGAAAACGGGCCAGAGCCTTCGAAACGGGGCTTCTATTCCGTGCCCCTGGACAATGCATCTTGTTATTTGCAAGTAGTGTTCATCGCCTATCACTACAGCAGTACATACTCGTGATGGCCTCCCTCTTACGAAAGACATGACATGACCAACCACGAGACCGGTGAAGAAGTGCAGGCAAGAGAAAACAACAGATAGATGGACGGCATCAACTAACCACCGCCGTCTGTCTGTGGGCGGTCACAAAAAGAAAAAGTGGAAGTGAAACATTATAACCGTTACTCTCTCTCGAGGCGGTAAGCACCACGACGGATTTCTGTGTCGGTTTTGTACACAACACAGGAGAGAAAGGAGCGCAAGAAACAATCCAATCCTTGGCTGCGTGGAAAAAAACAACAATGTTGGATAATAAATCCTAACCCACGAGGCACAGGAACTACTCATGGCGGGCTCCAGCGAGCGTACGGTTGGTGCACGAGTGACGCAAGATACCACACCCCTCGGACTGTCCGATTTTCAAATACTTCACGACTACATAAGAGGATACCAAACTCAAACGGTGCATTTTTCTTCGAGGGCTCGACGAGATGAGTCATCGTTGCCATTTTCGTCGCCATCACTGTTCATTGGTGCAATTGCATGTACTACACTGCAGCTGTAGTGGACTTTTAACTATCGGTCCAAGGGGTGTGTGGTATCTTGTGTCATGTCATGTGATTGCACGGAGCCTCTTCGTGTTTCGTTTCTACAGACAGAGCAGTCGTCGTTGCCAGCCAACAGACAACACACGACCCCGCCGGCTGCCCTGGACCACTGCGGTCTCACACGCACCATGGGATGGGATGAGGTGAGCTGGTTCGCTATAGTTACCACGTGGTTACCATCAGGCTTCTAGAAACACCCCTTCTCGGTCTTGAACATTCACATCTTATCTCGTCTCTCTCTCTTTTCCTATTGAACTTTTCAACAACGTTCTCCCCTGTTGCGAGTCTCGGCGCACAGCCGTCAGGCGTGAAACCGATCAACAGCAGTGCCAGTACCCATACGCCGGGGGGAATCACGCAACCGTGCGCTACATTGCCCAGCGTTTGTGTCGTTGTAGGCCGTGTGGGCACCGCGGTTATGTTGTCCCGCTATGTTCTTTTGGAGCGTACCAGCGTACCGGGATGTTGAGCTCGTCCTCACTATTCGTCATGCAAAGACGGCTTAAAAGTCGGTATCCCTTTCGAGTTCGAAGGGCAACTGCGCCTCCAGGATACAGAGGGGAGAGGTCGCAATGGCAGAGGCTGTAAAAGTAGCTGTTAGCTCGCTCGACATAAAGCAATAACACTGCTGTAGTGACGCTCCGTGCGGCGTGATTTGTAGATTCAACCTGCACCCTCCCGAACTGAGACCGAAACGCAGGCCGAGGACCAAAGGATTGAAGGTTGTTTGTGCTGAATGACCGCACTCAAGAATCACACACGCAAGCATCGTTGCCCAGCCTCTATAGCTGTTGTCAGACCACATACCCAACCCAATCTCGCCCATCCCCTGCAAACCATGCACATGACACACGAAACCTGGTACGCTACAGTAGGTACCGGTCAACCCGTCTGTGAACCTAACCTTTGAACGCTGAGCGCACGATGTTCCTGCTGCGAGCTGTTAAATAGAGTGTTTGGGGGGGGTAGGTCGGGGGCTCATTTGCCTCGCCCCCTCTCCTCCTGTGGTGCGACAACGCAGCAATAGAGCTCCGAATATGCGGTACAACACCTTTCGTGGCGATGCTAACTCGATCGATGATTCACGGTATTTGGAAAAATAGGCAAGCACAGAAAGACTGTACCCGTTCGTGCACACATACGGCGGCGTGTCTGTTCCCATGGGGTGTGGTGTGTGGTATGGCTCAGAGGTTAACATAATTGAAACCTTCTCCATGGCACGTCCCACGCCGCGTTGCCGATATCCTTTTCAATACACGTCTCGACGACAAGCTATACCCCCACTTCGCATCACCCCAACACGCTGAATACAGCGTCATATATTCAGACGGGATACCGAGGTATTGTAGGGTTCGGCGAGAGACCACGTCATGATGAGTTTTATTGGAGTTGAACGAAGAGCAGAAGCAGAGAAATGGAGTAGCAGTGAAAGGTTGTGTCAAGACCTATCACGAAGCAGCAGCAGCAGCAGCAGCAGCAGCAGCAGCAGCAGCAGCAGCAAGAGAAATGGAGTAGCAGTGAAAGGTTGTACCAAGAGCTATCACGAAGCAGCAGCAGCCACAGCGGCAGCAGCCGCAGCAGCAGCAGCAGAACGTCCCGCCCTAGACAGCAAGGAGAAAGAAAAAATAAGCCCTCCGAAGGAAGACGGCGGCATCCGGTTTGATAGGCCGGCTGGAATAGAGTCGGGCCCGCGGCACTAGAAGGCCAGAGCCCCGATCGCTGAGGGAAGGTCGCCTCGCTTCGACCCTCGCGCGGGCATCGCGAAGGGTGAGACAAGGAAAAAGAGGGAGGAACAACAGCAGTACCCCCTAAGGGCACCATGGATAGTTGTCACGCCATTGTAAACGTGACGCCATTTGATCTAAAATGTCAGGGAAGGGATGAGAGGATGTATGCGCAGGTTGCTGTTCTGGTGTTCCGCACACCCTACTCATCATTTGTTGACCTTGCCGTCAACGGCGCCACGTTTACAATCAAAGCGACACGTGCGTCTGGTCTGTAATTCCTCCCTGTTTTCCTACTCCGAGTTGATGCTGACCCTTTTGACATTGCCCTCGCGAGGGTCTGGGCGAGGCGGTCGATCTTCAAGCTATACCCCCAGTTCGGATCAGCTCAACCTCTTCACCCCCATAATTTAAGTAGGACCGCATTCGCGAGGTTAACCTATGAAATAGAGAGGGGGGCGGTTCGTACCCTTGCTGCATCCCTAACCCCACCCTGTACCCTCTACTAAAACCAACCTTGATACTACTCGCGCCCCCCCCCCAAACCTCTCTGAACACACGTCACCCCCCCGGAACAGAGAGATCACGTGGTGGGCGCGTGCACGGCGTATCTCTCCGGGGACCCCGACACCCGACCCGAACACTGCCTGTCCAAGGTGATCGAGACCTTCGGCTGGCGGTGGGGCTTCGTCCTCTTCAGCTACTCCTGGCTCGTGTTCCTGTGGATCGTGCAGGGGGCCCTGATCCGCCTTTGCTGCGGCAAGCTTAAGCCAGTGGAGCGGGCTCGGGCCACGGCTACGGTACTGGGGAAGGTCTGGAGCTCCTTTCTGTTCGTGAACGTGGTGCTCGCTCCAGAGGTGTGTGTTGGCTTCGTTCGGTTAGTTGAGTGTGTGTTAGCCGACACAGCAAGTGCGTCTGTAGTGCTCCAAAGCTTGTTTGTTGCTTCAGTTTTTTTAGTGTGTCGCTCTCTGTCTCTGGTTCATATCTGAGTCGTGTTGCTCGTTTCAACGATGATATTAGTTGGGACCCATGGCAACCATAGTGGTTGCTGTAACTCTTTTTTGAAGAACAGGTCTCATACTTTCCCCGTGTGTATGTACTTGCAAATCGGGTCCATGCCAACCATTAATGTTGAAACTCTTTTTTGAAGAATGGGTCTCATTATTTCCGTACCCACACCATCCCCTCGGACGAGAAAGGGAAACGCACTGCCCACAACGTTTAGCCTGGCGTTGTTTTTGGTGTACTCTACACTTCACTCTTCATATTGATGTTTTTTTTATCTTAGACAACTTGCATTTTATGAACAACAGATCTGATTTTTTCATATGTATGTAAATTGCAAATGGGGGTCCCGTGATTGTCTGCTGTGGCAGGATGTGAGGGAGTGGCTTCTCTGGTTGCTGTGGTTCTCAAGCACGGGGCTCTTGAAGATGCTGGAGACCGTGGGGAAGGAGCACTTCGAGCACGTAAGACCAATGACGGAACCTTTGTCTTTTCGAGCGTGCACCATCCAAACGAAGCGTGTCAAACATGTGTGTCACTTGGTTTATATTGGTTTTTAAGTTCACCGAAATGGTGACACTTGGAGAAAATGGGAGAAGAAAGTCGAACACATGTGCCCTTCCTCTTTTGTGGCATCCTACAATTGTACCTGTGTGGAAACGCTCCCTCCCCCACCCCCCACCCCAAACAAAGTATGGATTCAACGGAGTCTCAGTCATACACGATGCCCTCCCTACCTCTGATGGCGGGTCATGTTACCTGCTTACAGACTGGGGACCTAAAACGGCCAATAGGCTGCTGGTCCTTACGGTTGTCGTGACAGGCTGAGCAATTTGTGCCCTCACTGAAGATGGTGCTGTAATCCGGTATAGAAATGAAAGCCTCCAAGCTTCGGCCTGTTCCCGAAACGGTGCTGTGATGGTGTTTTTTTTCCCTCCGCTTGTACATGCCGAAATAACTTTGCTTTGCTTTTGCTTTGACCCCAACATTGCTTTGACCGATTTTTTTTTTCTTTTCTTTTCTTTTCTCTCTGCTTGCACAGCAGTACTTCATACCAAAATACGAGGCATCCAAGGTGTCCCTCTTTCCGAAACGTAGCTTTGACCGATTTCGTTTCTTTTCTTTCAAAAAAAAAAAAAAAAAACAAGGTGGTGGAAAACCCTCGTTTCGGCGTCGGGCACACCCTGAGGACGCTCGGTCTCCACGCCGCGGTGCTGTACCTGGGCGCCCACCTGGCCAGGCTCGGCTGGAACGAGTTCTTCGAGTGGGGCGGGGGACCCATCGGCCAGATCCTTCTCTCGCCGAGCCCGGCGGTGGTTGATGGTGACGTCATTGAGCTGAACGGCAACGACGGTTACGGTTATTTTGGGGCGGCGGCATCGACTTCGACGGATCCGGAAAGGTGCGGTAGCAGAACCGAGGCATAATCCTCGGGCTATGCAAGTGTTCGTCATCAGCAGGCGGCGTTTGGCCGGAGCGCTTGTTGCCTCTGCAGGCTGCGGTATGCCCCCGGGGGTACGAGCCTCTGCAGGCATTCTTTTCTGTCCTGGTGCAATTCCTACCCGCCGTTTTCTACCCGCCGTAGGCGTTTTGAACTTTACAGCAGTAGTGGCGCCTCCAGCATGCAGCAGTAGATGTTCTTTATCCTGTAAAGCTACCTACTAGTCGGCTGCTGTTTTTCCTTGGCACCGCCGACAAAATGTGGCCTTCTGTCGGAGGTTAAACGAGACGGCCAGTGTTGCAGGCGAGCTCGAAGCGTTGGCGCTTGAAATATCCGCACACCTTATATTTTATTTGTGTGTCTTTTTATTGTTGCAGTAGCATCGACCGCGCTAGACAATGCAAAGACGTCAGTCTCAGTGCTGGCTGAAAACAGAACATGCTTCTAAAGGTGATTATCTGGGACCCCGTGTGCTCGGTGCAGGGGCGGGACGGGCTTTGCCCTCCTGCTGCTGTACGATCTGGCGGTTATCGCTACGGAGGTGGGGTTGTCGGCGCTCAAGTACACGTCCAACCTCCTCGAGCTTCACAAGGACCCTGACTCGGTGAGACTTTGTCATCATCGTCGTTGTTGGTGTTGTTGTTGTTGTTGTTGCTGCTGCTGCTGCTGCTGTTGCTGCTGCTGCTGCTTCTGCTACTGCTGTACTTGTTGTTGTTGTTGATGTTGTTGTTGTTGCTGCTGCTGCTGCTGCTGCTACTGCTGTTAGTGCTACTGCTGTTGCCGCTGCTGTTGAACGTTCACGCGACTGGGCTGTCCAGCCAAACGGACGTGTAGAATTCCAAGGGCATTAACATGCTTGCCCACCGAAGACATCATATTAGATATATCGATGGATTTCGCCCGTTGCCCCCCCTGTCCCCTTACCTTCCATTGTCTTTGGGCAAAGGCTATTCAGCCTCCCTTGGTTATCAAGAATCGCGTACCACGTGCACCTAAACCACACCAAACGGTCCGCCCTCTCTCCCGTGTCTCGCTTGCCAAGGCCTACACCGAGGAAGGCTCCCTAGAGCAGACGGTATTCTTCACGCGGCTGGGCCAGGCTATCCTAGGCGCGAGCCGCACCGTCTACATGTTCAAGTCGTGCGGGCACTGCGCGTTAGTGAGGAAAGTGTGCATCCGCATCATGAGCACCATCAACGGGGGGCAGACGTTCAATCGCATCCATAGCGCGGTGAGACGCTTGTCGAGTTTTATCGTGCTATGCGCACGTCGCATGTGACGTGTAGATTTAGCCGTTGCAGAGATTGGGACGCTATTGAGGAAGGCAGATGGCGTATGCGCCGTGTACATTGAACCTTTACGTGGGGTTGGGACGCTATTGAGGAGGGAGAGAGAGCTTATGTGCCGTGTAGATTGGCCGCTTCATGGTGTTGGGAAGGGAGAGGGAGCTTTTATGTGCCGTGTAAATCTAGCCGTTGCATGGGATATTGACGATAGTATCGAGGGAGGGAGCACCACTTTTTCTTTTTCTTTTTCGTGCGGGTTTCTTGACAACAACTGGTAGCCGTAAAAACAGTTACAGCAGTTACAGCAGTTACAGCAGTTACAGTATAGGCCAAGAGATATTTATTGTAGCATGGAACGCTTCTTGACGCATGTAGTACCGGATGCGCTCAATGTCTACATGCCGCGAAGTGTGAGGAGCGCACGTCTGAACACTTTTTCTCGTTGCCCTTTTGTTTCATCCGCCTCCTTTCCCCCCCTACTTTGTATTTTTCTTTTTCCCGCAGGCGTGTCGAATTGTGCTTGCCAGGGAGATGGATGTCGCCTTCCCTGACGCTACGGAGCAGGAACTCAAGGTAATATAATATAGTAATGTGCTTACATGTTCGAATGATCTCAACGCTTCCGAACAGAAACCAAGCACGTCAGCTCGGGCCGGGGCGGTCAACTCAAAAGCCGTTCAGAGATCATTCACGCAATCTATTACAAATTGCAAAGCAGCAGACGTCGACATGTCCATGAGGCAGTCTACTCGCTGGCTGGTGCTGGTAGCCCCCCCTCCTCTCTCTTCCCCGCCCTACCCCTCCACAGCAGTTGCTCGCTTCCCTCTTTCCCCGATGATATCGCTGCTGGGGATATCACTTGTCATCGCGTCTACATCGATATCGATTTTCCAACGTCTGCCTCTGTCTGAAGCAAAGCCCTCCTTTCTGTGTCGTATTGTGTCGCGTGCATCATCATGCTGTACCCGCAACGACAACGTTTGACGAAAAACGCAGACCATGGCCGCGGACGAGTCCTGCGCTATCTGCCTCAAGACCATGACCTCGGCCAAGAGGTAAGTCGGTCTGGAGAACGAGAGCCAACCTGTCACGGCTACCCGTTGTGTTGAGTGTTCTTGGCCCATGCATCATTGGGATGGAAAACAAAGACAAGCAAGGCGGTTTCGATTGCTTCCTTGACGGTCGGTCAATAGGGCGATTCAACAATATTTTGGCATTCTGCAGCTGACCGCGCTTTGGTTGTTCGCAAATATAAATACCCCGGAATAAGCACGCGCCTGGTCGTTTTTCGTGTTAGGAAACCCACGGCATTCCACTTTGATTGCTCTGTACTTGCCGTAGGTTTTTGAGTTCCCGTTCGCCTTTTGCCATCATGCCAACCCCCATGCGTGTAGCCGACCCCCCCCCCCTCTACTCCCCCTCCTTGCTCCCGCCCCTTTCTCGCTTGTTGGAACAGGCTCGAATGTCAGCACTTCTTCCACGCTGGCTGTCTCTGGCAGTACCTCAACACCACCGCGCGCACCGAGCCGCTGTGCCCCATCTGCCGGGCCCCCATCTCGTGGAACCCTACCGCGGGCGGCAACAAGCCGGTAAACCGTGGCGAGGGCGACCATCTGGTAGCAGCAGCAGCGGCGGCGGCGGCGGCAGCAAGGGTAGCGGCAGGCGACGCGCCCAACATGAACGTCGGCGATGATCACCACCACCACCACCACCACAACCCCCTAGCCTTCGGGCCGGCGGTGAACGGCCCGCCGACACCGGACGGATTCTCCCGAGCGGCCCGCGGAGCGGACTCGGTGGTGCGCGTTGTGCGACAGATGTTGCGGTTCGGCTGGACGGGTGGCGGCGGAGGCGGCGGCGGCGTGGGAGGGGGAGGAGGAGGAGGAGGAGGAGGAGGAGGAGCCGGAGCTGGGGTTGCTGCTACCGGGGGCGGCGGCGGCGGG